TACACACCTAACTGTTTTCTTTTCTGCACCCATGCCCCATGATTTCAAGCCGTCGCAACTCCACCACCGCAACACCAACCCATTTCTTTTTTTTTATTCGGCCAAAAACCCGCGGAGATCGATAGACTTATTTAGGAAGTTTACAAGAAGGGTGCTTTTGCTAGATGCACAATTCACAAGTGGCGCACGAAGTTCACGTCGGACGACTATTCCATCGAAAATGAAGACCGTCCGGGACGCTCAATAGAGTTGGATTTGGAGGTGCTGCGGAGCCAGGTGGAAGCCGATCTGTATCAAACTACTCGTGAACTGGCAGTCACCCTTGGGGAGTCAATCCACCATTATTCGTGGATTGAAGTCAATCGGCAAGGTGCAAAAGCTCGTCGATGGGTGCGTCATGCTTTGAAGCAGTATGACATGAATTTTCGCGCCGACATGACACTTTCTCTCCTCTCGCTTAAGCGCAGGAGATGGTCAGGTGTACTCGTTAGTACGAAGTTGAAAGAGCTTATTATACTCTATCTAATGATACCTCGTCCATTTTCCTCTCCTCCTTCCCAAACTATAATCTCTAGAGGTCATCACTATCACTTTGACTCAGCCTAATAATTACTTTAGATCGTATCCATTATCCACGTTAAGCGCAGCTTTCCATTTGCTAGGACGACGGTTTCCCTGATGGGATAAGTTTCGATTTCTAGAGGGGATCCACGCTTTTGACATCGGCCATCAAGTCAACCACTTCGTCGTAAGTTCTGTTGACCAGCCAGTTTTTCAACGAACGGTTGACATGACAATCAAATATGTTAATTCGGTGAGTATGAAGGATTTAGGAGAAGATACCATTCCTTACGTGGCTTTGGCTGACTGTTCCATCGCAAGAAAGTTCGCTGAGATTGCGAAATGACTTTGCAACCTTCCAACCTTTCTCGAAGCATAATGTGGCGAATGTGAAGATGACTTTATAGAAACATTTCTGTCGAGGAAAACGAGCATGTTATGTCTTGAAAAAACCCGAGTTCAGTATGCAAGTGTATCGAGAGAAAAGGAGCCTCGGAAAAATTCCAATAATTATGCATCAACCTAATAGAAAGGCAATCGACGATTTCATCAAGTCTCAGCCCCCGTTCTTTTGGTAGGAAGAAATCGACAAACTGCCTAAGCGTTGGCGTCGAGTGGTGGATGGTGATGGTACACACCTCTAATCCCCGGGTTGGTCCGCTATTGAGATATTTAAATAAAAGTAGGGGATGAAGTATGCATCAACCTAATAGAATAAAGTTACTTCCAACGAAAGTTTTCAGAACCTCTAATCTCGCTCAAGATTAGTATTTTGCTATCAGAGCCTCAACAAACCTCGATGATGTGCCAAACGCAGCTGCCTTCATCAACTTCAGCGAAGCATAGCTGAGGTCCACATTCTCGTTGAACAAGCGCGCGTTCTAAACCCAGAAGATCAAGCTCTAAAACCTATCCGTGTATGGCTCGACACTGGAGCTAACCGCGATTGACATATCTTTGAACCCGCATTTATTTTTAAGATATACGAGTATCAAAGAATGCTTCGTGAGGTTTGAGACGTTTCATCTCTTCCGGGATTATGATCAAACTTTTATGTGCCTTTCGTGCATCATCCAGAAGCTTTCGTGGCGTTCCAATGTCGTTTTTCACCTTTAGCCTTTTGTGGAATTTCCAATGTCGTTGATGCATCTGCATCCAAGCTATTGGCTACGTTGATGTACTTCTCCACTACGACTCCTACTCTGTTCATATCTAAATCGACTGCTATTTTTGCATGAGCGATCATCGTCTTGAGCGGTTGCTGTTCTCCTGCTATAGACCCAACTTCTGGCTCCAACTTTACTGCAAGAAGATCCTATTCACTGCTCAAAAAGGCACTTAGTCGATTCTTAGCTCGATAAAATCTCCTGACGATGAATTAAGGACACTGCAACCCTACGTCTTGATGCCTAAGCTCCGTCACAGCTGAACGTGGTATCCATTCTGACAGAATGAGAATTTTCGGTTGGCTCTTGATACTCTCCCGGTCGGATGCACCAGTTGTAGTGGACGTTGTAGGATGAGGCGAAGAATAGGAATGGGAGTGATTCATTACTATGCAGGAATGGACTTGTNTATACCCACCAATGACAGATTTATCATTGTATTGGCGGTTCACTTTGTCATTTTTCACAACAAGCGGCAGCTTTGCTGCTAGAGAGTAGTCTCTATAAAAACAGTCCTATATCAAGGGCTACTCCCTAAAGGTCGAATAGGCTAACTACCTTCTGCAGCAGTCAACTCTAAGAAGTCGCTCATGCAATTGAGGAGAGTTCTATTCGTCTTCTGCCAAATAGCCTCGGGGCTGACGTCGCAACGGCCAAGCTGTCCAGATTACATGAACGAATATACCTCTCTTCCCTGTTTTTATTCTCATAACCTTATCCCTTCTGTCTATTAATATTTTTAGCATCTCCCTTTTTGTAGAAAAAAAAACATTTGCATCCATGTGAATCTCATGGAGCAAAATGGTCATTATATGGTTCAATGGAAGAGGGTCAGGTTGGTTTGCTAGAAGCTTCAAATGTGTACACGATTGCTCCGAGACTTTTGCATCAACATAGTATGTTAAGAAGGAAGAACTCGCAAATCCATGTCACCCAACGAACGAATTCTAACAGATTATCAGCAAAAGAGGAGTTGAGATGTATAGTAGAGGTTCAAAGAGCTCGATGGCACGTAAACATCCGGGGGAGGGGGAACTACAATACAATACAATTGGTTAGTACTACGAAAATCAATAGTAGCTACACACCTTGAGACTAGTACCACGGAAGCTCGCTTTAGGCGAAAAGGGTGGATGAACAATGGAAACAATTTCATAGTAGAGATTCTGAAAAAGAGTCTGACGAGCATTATAAAAAGTCAACATCTGTGGAATTTATTACGTGACGTAATTCAGCCAATGGCATTGCAACAACAAGCACAAGCATCCGCAATATCACATTACCATCAAAAATGAAAATCACTCTTGTATGTCGGCTGTTGTCTTGTGCGGTAGGCTTTCAATGTTGGATCACCGACATATGCCCATATTGGCTTTGGAGCCTGAAATCCGAATGTCGAGTGAAGTCGAAAATATGAAGGAAGTTAGCGAACTCGAGTACATATAGAGTCACAGGTTGCTACTTTGGATGAGTAGGGGAGGGCGGCAGCCTTTTTTCGGTTTGTCTTTCGCTGACCCAGAGGCTGTGGTTTCAATGGGACTATCATTGTGTCATTCTCACGATAATTTCAGTCGAAAATGGTCCTAACGCTCCAGCGTTTGTGTCCGTCTGTTTATTTCTCCTTGAGCTCGAAATTACCTGAGGGAACACCCGGACAGATCAGCTTGAGATCGGTTCAATCTGGTCACAAACCAAAAGTAACAGAGCAAATCCGTCCACAGAGGGAAATGCAGCGGGGTAAGTGGCGTCAGAATAACAACTCTCCGCTTTTGTTCCGTAACAGCCAAATGCCTGGAAAAAAATGTGCCAAGTCCAGGAATATGAAGGAAGTGATGTAAATCCACCCAGTATCACAGAAGGCGGTACCTTCCACATAAATACGCGGCTCGCTTCAGTGAATTCTGGAGGCTTAGACTCGGTCCATTATGTACTGGTATGGGTGACCACGGCGAACATCAGCCCCAAAGGATACGTTTTTGTTGGTCAGGGGCTATCAGCGAAATGTGTTCAAATCTTGAAGTGAGCGATGCATGACTTGTGAATGGAGCTAAGTGCAAAAACTCTTATCTCTGTTCAGAACAGCTTTAGAATTGAGAAAAAAGTGATGTGAGATTCTAGAAGCAATGTGGCAAATTCTCGAAGTGGTCGGGACCAAGATCTAAAATTCATCACTTTGTTCGAGGACGTTCGTGATGTTCCGGAACCGCTCTCTATATGACGGCATAATCGTTACTTTCTACCCTCAGAATCATTTTCTTTACTGAGTCCACGCGAAGAATTCGCTTCTATCTGTTTGTCGAAGAAGCATGAAGAGGTTGGGTGAATTTCGGAAAGGTAATGTCTAAGGCTAAAGCTTCTCTAGGAGCAAGTCCAAATCAGGCCAACAGAGTGCATATGACGTCAATGGGAAAACTTCGAGATTTGACTTCAGAGAGATTTCGACACAGGGGAAAAAACGGTTCGAAAAAACGGAAAAAAGATTCCGATTGGGTCAACAAGTCGGACGTAAGAGGATCGCGCGGTAGGAAGATTGTTTCCGGACTGGGCGGCACTTTCTACAAAAAGCTCTTGCCCACCACAGTTTAGAAACTGATTTTTGACAGGTGGGGCTCAGATCAAGAAATTGGTACCTTTGTTAAAGGTGCACTTTGTTGTGACGCATGCATCAGTGCGCGAAGCCCAACCGGTTGTGATATGAAGATGATAGTAACAGTAACATTGGTAATATTAATAACAACAATAACAGTAATAACACTAGTAAGTTCAATACTAGTCCTGCTTCTTTAAAGAGAAGAGCTTCGATTGCTGCTTCTCGTGCTATCTGCATCGACTTAATGACAAGAATATTCTGTCGAGCAGTTCGGGACAGTGAATAGTGTAGAATGAATGAAATAAGTATGAAGTCTGTACAATGAATTGCAGTGGTCAGACGACGTAATAGTCAGTAATTTCATCCTCCCAGATGAGAATGGTACTTGGAAGAAGGTATTTGATCGTCCTGTGAGAATATCGATCCAAGATTTGATCCCCGTTAAATGCGTGTATGTTTGTGTGTGTTGATGTGTGTGTCACTTCCCACCATATTAATTGTAACATCTCACGTCATTTCTTCGTATTCACCAAGCGCACTGACCGGGAATGTAGATTGCATCAGAAGTACAAATAAACAGTTGAAATGCGGAAAAATGTCTCCAAATTGACCGCATTGACTAATGTACTGGTTAATATTAAGGCTTTTTCTACCACTTTACAGGCTATCAGCTGTCTTTTTTTAATTACAGGACAGCTGATAGCCTTCCTCTCTGAAAAAAGGCTCTAACTCAGTGATTTGAATGATTACTTACCAGCGACTGCCGTGTTCGAGGCCTTGAAACGCTCCTCGTTCTGGGCTCTTCCGACCGGCTTCTTCTGGGCTTAGAGCGCCTCCGTTGGGATCCTTCCTCTATCCTACGGCTGCTTGCCTTGCAAGATGAAACATTTCAGATTTTAAGTGGTGTAATACTCATTCGTTATATGAAAATGACTTGGAATATCATTGTGAACATAGACACTTAATTACACTCAGAAATCTTGATGGAATTTTGATTGTTGGAGATGAGGGAAACAGTGCCTTATGAATGAGGTTACGCTTCACCAGTTAAAGATGTTTCCACACGACTCACGGTATTTTAAGGTATGAGCGGCAGGGAAAAAGTGAGCTTCACGGCTCTACCCCTCCCCGCTTCACGGCTCTACCCCTCCCCGCCACTAATTTTTGCTTTCTCCCACTGAATCCTTTCATATAATACTGAACCACCGATCAAAAGGAGTCCATCTGAATGCAGAGAAATGAGTAAGTAGATTGCAAATTATCTTTCAAATCAGATGTGGTCTTCGTGAAAAGTCTTGACACGTTTGACCACTTTCTTCTAACTTATTTCCTTCCTTGACAACGTATAAGAATCAATAAATATAAGCAACATTGCTTCGACAACATATTGCTATTCATCAGGCAACCCATGGATCGCGTTTGCAAGAAATTCTCTAGGTTCTGCGGAGAAACACTTGCTGATGCACTCATGAGTTGGTCTACATCACCGAACTTTTTATTTTTCAGCGTTTTTGATAGTGACAGGAACAGGTAATTATCTGCTAGAGCCAGAATACAGTGGGTGTCAGAACAAGCCATCCCAGGCTATGTTTCTTCTGATTTTCTTTGCAATGAGTGAGTGAGCATGAAGAAAGTACGCTTTCAGCAGTTTCTCTCGTGAAGCTGCAGCAACGCGATCAAGCCGAGTGCAGTGAACTTCGACTGTGACAGTGAAGTTTGATGGCAGCAATTCCATTGAATGATCCCGTGTTTGAATTAAACGGAATTTTGTTATTAGGTTGGGCTTTCGTCAGTGAGTCGGAATTTCATGCTCTTCCCCCATAAGCATTCACTCGCATGCTTTACGTAGAGAACTCAGTTCGTTCACTCGCGTTTTCATAACCGGTGAACAAATCGTCCAGCCATGCGAAGGTGCACCAGAAAGTCACAGGTTCAGGCATACATCTCTATACATCTCGTATTTCCAAGGCTTTCCACGGTGACTCAAATGGATAGCTACCACGTCTCGACAGCTACCGAGCTCCTGCGTAAGCTCAAAGGTACAACACTGTAAACCTCTTTCAGAAGGTGGGCATCACTGAGCTCAGGTGATCCCAGATATCGTGTTTTTCCTGCGAAGTCAATGTGACCATTTTTGGCTTTGTGGTACCGATTGTTGGCCGTGCTGCAAGGGGGTCTCATCGCACCACATACGTCCTTGGTCGCAGGATTTGAATTGACGTTCTCCTGAACCCATAAAGCAGGAGCGGTATAAGTTGCTTTGAGCCGAGAGCGATCCTCTTAACCGAAACCCTCGCGAATGTGCGAAGGCTCTTACGAAAATCAAAAAAGTATTTATCTAGTCCGGGCAACTTCGCTCATTTCTTCCTAAAAAATACGAACGTCGTCATCGTGACGTCGTCATCGTCGTGTAACTTATTCAGAAGTTGAGTGCCTTTGCCTTGTGCTATGCGATGTAAGGTGTCCTGGAAAGTAATGTATACGAGCCTAAAAATGTAATACAGAAACATTCTCTTGCTGTGGGCTGATAACTGCTATCGTCATATTGTTTCAATGGAACTGGCGATGGAAAAGGCAAGACCTGTGACAGATTCTTGATTACTGACCTGTCTCATATCTATTGTAGAATTACACTCTTTGACAATCAGATATTATTGATTTTCAACCAGTCGATGGGAGAAGTGGCTTGTGTCACTAAGCGCTAGTGGAATTTAGTCGTAATCATCAGATGTAATCGTGATGAACCCAGATTGAATGTCTTTAATATCGAACTGATCGAACTGGAATGAGTCCTTTATGAATGTCATATAAACTTTTTCCCCTTTATGATGCTCCGTCCCCGTCGAGAGCCAGAGATGATTCGTCCTCGCTCGAAGTACACTGATCACAAGATCCTTCGGCCAGAGTTTCCTTGAAAAAATAGTTTATTCGCGCTGGCGGTAACCTTAGCGCTCGCGTAACGTTTCGGGTGTCCAATAAGAAGCCGCACTGGTTCAACGGTCATCACCACATCGCATACCTTGTTCTTTCAGCTAACCTGTGATTCCTCGAGGCATGTCAGGCTATCCTGATCTTGGTTCGCTGGTTGAGCACAAAACTCTTTCCCTGCGCACTCGCGTGTACCAAGGAACTCTGAAAATAATCCATTCCTCAGCGCACTGAATGACGCTGACTGCATGCTTTCCTGGACTCCAAACCTCTGAAAGGTAAGGCAAGAGAGAAAGGACCGGAGGAGTGCCGAAAGCGCCGAACAAGATTTTTTGCCTTTTCCACTCCCTCTTCGATATTTTTAATGGCTTCCACGCCGCGCGCTCTATTCTCTTGAGTTCACGGCTACCTCATTTATCATGTTGACTTCTCGACCTAGATACATGTAACATTCGGAGATATTCGTTCCATTCAGCCAAAAAGGAGCATCAGTTACCATCCGTTTGTCGTAAATATCGTCTTGGTTAGGTTCAGTCAATAGCCGATCCGTACATTGGCATTGTAAGACTGAGCAAGCATTCGCCCCGCTCACTCGATTTTGGCCTTATCATGTCTGCAGAGCGGAGGTTATGTAAATGGAGACAGTCGACCTTCGTCCCCACGCCTTCTTATTTCCAATAACACATGTTATTCAGCGGTTTGAGACGTTTTGGCGACACACTGGTACAGTGAAGTTTTCTTCGAATCGATGGACGCATTACAGCATCATGAGTCTCGCAATTCTTCAGTGAATTTTGTTTCAGTGCGGATATGATTGTAGACGAAGACTGTTAGGATCGGGATTGAGTCACACCTTCCCAACCGCATACCTAACTTTGAGTTGTTAAGCCTTGGTGGGGTTTTAGCGGCCCATCTGCACCGCCAGCGTTTTGCTGTCGCATGTTCCAAAATCCGCCAGCTTTGAGAATGGCAAGCTTGACCTCGCTTCCTCGCCCTCGCTTTGGTCATCAACATAGTGTTGGACGTGATCTTTCATTTCTGCGCCTTCGAGTCTTTGATAGACGCTTCCAGTGCATGTGTTGGTGCGTTGACAGTACAGATAACCATTTTGTTCTTCTTATATGCAGTATGATACAACCCTCAAGCCTAGCAAGTTGCGAGGACCTGATTTGAATTTGGTATACTCCGCGTTGTTGACCATGCTATCCCAGAGTGGAAAAAGAAATGACTTGTTTGGTGCGATCAGCAATCACCTATCAAGTGGGTATCGGTACATACGTGCGTTCGTGAGTGCGCGCGGCAAAGTGTGTGGCGGAATTCGTGACGAAGCGAACGACTTCGGTTCCTATTTTTGGAGCAACTTAAAGTTTAGTAGTTCAGTAGGGTCAGCTGATCCTACTATCTACTCTACTTTGGATTCGGGCCTCAATGATTAGGCGCTGAAGACGTTCAGATACCCATGAACTTCGCCGCGCGATTTGCCGCGCGCATCCTTGGCCGCACGTGAGTTCCGTCCCCCCTATCAAGTGGTTCTCAGTCACCTGCATGCATGCTCTCGAACATGCACGCAACGTGTGAGACACCAACCGCACCCGTAAACTCCACACTCACGTACACCTCCGAAGATTCAAGGAGAAACAAGAGAACCAATATAGCAAAAAACTCAGCTTACATCCTGAATCAGTCTGCCACTCTTAGCGAGCTCTCCGAGAGTATAAGCTAGACAATTATAGAGTGCACTATAAATATAGTAGCGACAACATAAATGTGGCAAATTTCCCATTTTGGAAGTTTTCGACATCTGCACTTCCTATTATGTTTATAATATACTTTAGCTCACATGTCTATTTTGCTGCTCTTGATTCCTGAATTTTCAAAGAAGGCGGAAGCTCGCGCTTGCCTAGCAGCCGTCCTCTTTGCTCGCGTATGCCAGATCTTTTTCCAAAATAGCTTGTCATTTTGCATTTCCTGCACGCACAACCGTAATGGCGAAGCACGGACAGGTCAACTTCAAGTCTCGAACTGGTCATCAGTTTCAGAGATCGATAATTCTCAGGAGATAGTTACGTTGCGAAACCTGGAGAAGTATAAGAAAAATGTTTTCAGAAGTGTCCGTTTTACTTTGTTGGGAAACGTAATCCTCACGCGAATGCAACTTTATTCTGATAGGTCTTGGAGCATGGGCATCCTTTCGAGAAGCCGAAAAGCTGAGAAGGATCCCTTCTTGAAAACATTTAACTTTTTCCATGATGGTTTGAGCTGTAGTATTAGCCATTGAAACCATGTTACCTATTTTGTTGAGAATCGTATCGAAACTAATCAAAACATCTTCATAAAGTACATTCCCGCAACGATGCCGCTGAGAGTCAAACAGTAGACTCACCAGAGCGCCAAACCGCAAAAGGAAGAATAAAACTGGTGCTGAGGAAATGCTCGTGACCCTATTCCTGCTTTCGATTCGCCTACGTAACCGAACGATCGCAATCCAAGGGTCCATTGGGTACGGACTGCACTGGTGAGGGAAGTTTGCGCCTCAGAATATACCACAGTTGCTGCTCTCAAATTTTCGTCCAAGGGAATACAGAACCTGCTGATGAGTATAGGAAGCGTCTTCGAGCTTTAGTTAATACAGGAGACGGTTATATCATATGACCGTACCGAACTGATCGTTTATAGCTCATTTTGATGATACGATGCATATTTAACAGTTACATGAATTCACCATGTATCGATTTGAATTGCGGCTTATGAGTCGCAATGATGTTGTTACCATATTTATGGCGCACCCTGTACGTAACACTAAGTGATCAACTTCAGCACGTTCTTGAGAAAAAAAGCATGTATATATCAAGTCAAATCGTTTACTGAGTTTATGCGAGGAGATGATTGTCCATCATGAAAGAAAAAGAATGAATAGGGATGATCCAAAAAACATAAGACTATTTTTTATTTTCAATTCTATAAAACTCACCTGAGCCTGCGGAGTTCTTGGCTTCACTGGTATGTCCCTCCGAGCTACATCGCTTTCCGATCTTCTTTTAAAATGTGACTGTTGCTCTCTCGATTTTCTTTGTCTACTCTTGTGTAGTAGAGCATTGTCCTCGTTTTTCAGCCATAAATCGCGATTACCGGGCATCCTTTTTTGAGTTTCTCGCTCCTCTGCTCCTTTCCATAGTCTCTCCCTCTTAATAAGAATCGAGTAGTCAATTTGAGCTGTTTACGATATGCATTGTCCCATTTCAGAATGCGGAGTTTGTGATGTGGCAATAGGAACTGTTACGTCAGACTCAATTTCCCATAATATTGAATCAGGTAGCCCGGCTGAGACCGGGCTCCCCCTTCTCGTGTTAAAATGGCCTACCCGCCTGCAGCCTTTTCAAATTTGGAGGCTTTGGTAAGTGAGAATAGCAGTTATTCATTTCCGGCCAAATACTCAAACACCCAACACAATTCGTGCGCGCCCCGTCCGCCACGAGCAAACATCCTTAGGTTCTGTGTGTTTGAACTCGATTTATCTCCGACTCATTCAACCTAGATTTCGATATTTCGCCTAAGGTCTAAATTAACATTTTTGTTGCCTACGCTTCGCCTCCCGTAAGCGAAGTCCTGCCGCCCGACATAGGTGCTCCCATCCTGCCATCTGTGTTTCTATCGGATATGAACGCTCTAGGTCGATGCTTAAGTTTCTCGCGCAAACCTCGCCCCATATGGGTGGAGTCCGGTCTTGCGACTCATCATAAGTGTTCCTATCCTGCCGCATACACACCCACCAAATTTGAGCGCTCTAGGTCCACGGAAGTAGGGGCTATGAATGCCCACTCAAGCCCACTGGCCCGCTTGGGCGAAGTCCGGTCCTGATGCCCAGCGTAAGTGTTCCCATCCTGCCGCCTGTACTCCTACCGATTCTGAACGCTATTACTACAAATTTAATTTTTTTGAATAAACGCCCGCCCACTGTAGGCGGAGTCCGGTCCTGCCACCCACCATAAGTGTTCCCATCCTGCC